GCTCTCTCAGCGTGACCAAAGTCTAAACTGTAAAGAAACCCCATTCTTCGCATGTCTAATGTGAAGTAGTCATCTTATTCAATCATTGAAATATTTTTAGTAGGTGTGTAAACATGGCCGAAGCCGCTGCTTGGAATGATTAACTTTCTCTCTTGCCATCTCGATCTTACTAACACCACGCATCCTCTGAATAAAAGGATTTCCAGTGGCCGCATTCAGTTTGATACAATGCCAACTCCTTTGCCAGCCAAATCGATGGTGCTGCGAAAATACCAGTTATCCTACCCATTGTTCCAAATTTTGGTCTATTCCTGTCGCAGACCCGGCTACCGTAGTCGTATTGAAGAGTCTATTCAGTGTGCGGGATAAAGTTTTAGAGTACTCGGCATCCACGCTTCATTTTCAACACGCTGTGAATTCACAAATTCTATTTGTGGGTGTTGCTTTGAGCGGCAAAGGATGTTTTGAGCTTATAATCTCTGGTATTATGAGTCCTGCGCATGAAATCACTGAAGAACAGGAGCTGGCCTGTCATCAACATAGATTGCGCGCTCTGCTCATTCGAAACTGAATATTTGTGAAACATGTTCTCAACATTGAAAGAGATTGACTTAGATGAGCACAAAGGAAGAGGGTGGGGATACATCAACTGTCCAGTTTCCATCAAGGACACAAGTGAAGCGAAGAGTGGACTTCTCTCGATTGACCCCATTTGATAATGTACCTATTAATTAACTTGCAATGGTACAACTCAGGAAGAAGGCGTGTGAACGATTCCCTTCGATCCGTAGGATCAAAACCTAGAGGACGATCACAGATGTAGCACTCCCTTTACATGGAAATCACCCGGCAAGGGCGCAAGGACCTTGCCAAGGATGCTGCACCGGCTATGATTTTCCCTTTCATTAGGCCGATGTCATAGTTTGCGAATCGAGCGATTCGCTAGCGAATCGCTGGATCCGAGCGTTGCGCCAGCGAATCGAACGTTGCACCAGCGAATCGAACTTTGCACCAGCGAGTCGAACTATGTACCAGCGAGTCGAACTAGGTACCAGCGACTCAATAGTGGCGGGACC